CATTAAATTAAATGAAGAAAAACTTAAAACAATGAGAAATCAGTGAGAAGACAAGGCTTCTCATGCGTTCCTTATCTATTCAAAATAGTACTTAAAATTTTAGCTAGAGCAATAAAACAACTAAATGAGATCAATGGAATACAATTGGAAATGAAAGAGTCAAGGCATTGATTGCTATTTGCAGATGATATGACAGTACACATAAATGACCCCAAAAATTCTACCAGAGAAATCATAGAGCTGATAAACACCTTGAGCAAAGTAGCTAGATCCAAAATCACCTAAACATACCTGCAGCCATCACTTATACAAGTAATAAATGAGATGAGAAAGAAACTAGGAAGACAAGGCCCTTTTCAATAGTCACAAATTATATAAAACACTTTTGTGTAACTCTTACCAAGCAAGTAACGACCTGTATGATATGAACATCAAGTCTATAAAGGAAGATATAGAGAAAACTATTAGAAGATTAAAATATCTCCCATGCTCATGTATCAGTATGGTTAATATATTGAAAATGGACGTTTTAGAAAAGTAATGTGACAGTTCAAAACAATTCCCATACAATTACAACACAATTCTCTATAGAACTTGAAATAAAAATTTTAGCTTCTTGTGGAAAAACAAAACAGACAAACAAACAACAGGAAAGTTAAAGTAATCATATATAATAAGAGAACTTCTGGTTGTATCATTATCTCTTACCTCAAGCTTTACTGCAGAGAAATAGTAACAAAAGCTGCATAGTATTGGTACAGAAACAAACAGATTGATCAATGGTCTTGCATCACAGACTAAGAAACAAATCAAAACACCTATGCACACTTGATTCTTGACAAAGAAGTCAAAACCATACAATGAGGGGAAACATTCAAGAAATGGTGCTAACTAGATATCTGAATTTAGAAGAAAGCAAATAGATCCATGTTTCTTACCCTCAACAAAATTTAAGACCAAGAGGATCAAAGACATTAACACAAAACCAGATACACTGATTCTCATAGAAAAAAGTTGAGAATACAATTTAATGAATTGATACAGTAGAAGACAATTTCCTGACCTGAGCACACCAATAGCTCAGTATCTAATATCAAGTATTGTAAAGAGAAACCTCATGAAAAATGAAAATTACTTTAAGGAAAAAGACATTGTCAATAGGACAAAACATAAGAATACACACTTGAAAGAAAAAAAAAAAACTTCTCTAACTCTACATCTTAAAGAGCATTAATTTCCAAAGTGACTAAAGATCTCAAGGTAGGCAACTACAAATCATATAACCCAGTAAAAAAATGGAGAGTAAAGCTAAACAGACAATTCTCAAAAGAGTAATCACTAATGGACAAAAAAGCACTTACAGAAATGTTGCATGTCCTTTGTAATCAGGGAAATATTTACAAAATGACCAGGAGATTTTATCTTATAACTTTCAGAAAGGCTAAGATGAAAACCTCAGGTGATAGCACATGGTGATGATGATATAGAGCAGAGGCAACACTCCTCCATTGCTGGTCTGAGTGAAAAATACTACAATCATTTTTGGAAATCAATTTAGTGGTTTCTCAAAAAACTGGAAATAGTTTTACCTCAAGACAGAGTTATTTCACTTGTAGGCATATACCCATATTATGACGTATTATACCATAGGGACACTTGCTCAACTATGTTCATGACAGCTTTATTTAAAAAGCCAGAAACTCGAAATGACGTAGACATTCCATAACTGTAGAATTAATAAAGAAAATGTGATACTTCTTCACAATGTATCCCTATTCAGCTATCAAAACAAAGACATTATGCGTTTCTGAGCCAAATGGATGGAACAGAAGAATATCATCCTGTGTGACGTAACTCAGAGCAAGAAATACAGATGGTATGTATTTGTGAGTAAAACTTAGCAATAAAGTTCAGGAAAACAATGCTACTATGCACTTACCCAAAGAAACTGGGTAATAAGGATGGTAAATGGGAGCATGTGCAAATCTATCTCAGAGAGGAAAGATCAATATTCATGCGGTGTAGATAGAAAATGTGAACTGGATATGAGAGAAGTTGAGGAGGGGAGGGGTATGGTGATCAGGTATGGAGAAATGAGTGACAAGAGAAGGCTGTGTGTGAAAATGGAAAGCAGTCTCGAAAATTTCTTAATCTAGCTGGAGGTTACAGGAAATCTATGTGTGTGAGCCTAGCAAAGAGTCTTACCAGTGGGAGACAGAGAGACTGAATTGGCTACCTCTTGCATCCAGGTAGGATTTTCAGAGAAGTGATATGGATATCAATACACCAACAATACCTTCACCCCAGTATTTTCTTGCCTACAAGTTTTGAAGGTATAAAGATAGAGCAGAGACTAAGGCAACAGCTAACCAATGGCTGGCCCAACTTCAGACCCATCCATGAGAGAGAACCAACTTCTGACAATATTAACCACACTCTGTTATCTTGCAGAGAGAAGCTTAATATAACCATCTCTTCAGAAGCTACATGCAGTAGAGTTTGGAGGCATATACAGACCTACAGTCAATCATCAGGCAGTGGTAAGAGTCTTGTGGAACAGTGTGATAAAACACTGGGCATGACTGAGGGGTCAAGGACAACACAAGCAGTCCTATAATGCCAACTAATCTGTGTCCATGGGGCCTCACAGATGCCGAGTCTCCAACCAGGAACCTAACCTAGGCCAACTACATGCACATGCATACACACACACACACACACACACACACACAAACACAAATATATAATCATATGTGCAGCTTACTTTTCTTATGGAAACCCTAACAGAGTGAGTACAGTCTCAGTCTATGCTTTCTCCATTGAATGCCCTTCCCTTCCCTGGACAGCATACTTGGACTTTAGTGGGAGAGAATGCAAACAGTCCTTCTGAGACTAGATGGTCCAGTGTAGTGTGGTACCCAAATTGTTCCCCTTCTCCTCAAATATAGGAAGAGAAAATAGAATGAGGGGATTTGAAGAAGAGTGACTTTGACCGGTATTTGAAGTAAATAAGAACACATAAAAAGATTTATGTTATCAGAAAAGGAAGATATCATAGCCCAAAATAGGAAAAACTGCCTAAAATATTGAAAATGTAGTAATACAGTTATTATGGGCACACAAACTCAATCACACACACACACACACACACACACACACAAACACACATACATACACACCCTGTGAACTAAATAAAGTGCTAGACCCATATAGTAAAAATGGATATCACTGTCTCTTGCTTGCAAAAGTAGCAAATGGAAATCTTCAGGAGAAAAGTCAAAACAGTATATTGTTGATCCAACAATCACATTAAAGGAACATATTCATGGCTGCTATCCAGTGTCACTATCTTAACTATTCTGATGTTTAAGATGCAGAAGCCAAGAGAGACAGTTCAATTAAACCATTTAGCTAGGAAGAACAACCAATGTAGCACAGCCACGTCAGGCTTCAAATCTCTAAAGGCCCACCCCTACCAAAAGAAAATAGGAGAGCCAAAGAAGGACAGAAGCACAAAAGCCTGAAACAGGAGCTGATCTGAATTGAAAGGTATGAAATAAGCAACTCTAGCTAAGACCATAGAGCATTAGGTTTCAACATAAGATAACAATAGTTACAATGCTAAGATTACAATGGCTAGTGATACATCAGAGACCTAGTCTTTGAAATATACAAGAAAGAAGGCTGGACTGCCCAGCCTTCTTCACATAGCAACCTGGTCAGATAGGAAGTAATATATATATAGCAACACATCATATTGATGGCCAAAAACTCAATTTTAATGTACTTCCTCCTTTGTATATGATAGTTAGTAAGATAATAATTTGCTTCAAGTGTCAAAGGAAGCACAGGTTTTAGTTCCAACTCACTATTTACTGGTCTACCAAGTGGAAGAATAAATGTCATTTGTTGTTATTTGTGTGTATGATGTATGGACAAGAAAAGGCATTATAGATATGTATGGAAAAAGTCTGACACAAATTTTAGCCATAAATTTCAACAAATTGTAGCCACTGATTTGAAAGAGAGTGTTATGTAGTATACTCCATATGTTTGATAAGGAGAAAAGAGTAAATGGTATTAAAATTGTAAATTTTATTAGATGCTTGCTAATAATGACTTTCTATTACCTTTGAGCCAGATAGCAATTTGAAGCAAATAACATACTTTTAAACAATAACTTGAAAGTAGAGAATATATACAGGATATACATGAATTGTATCAGGCCTTTAATTAACAAAATAAGCTACTTCTATGAGTTCTAGAATGAAGATGAATGTATCCACACTAAATACTTTTTAACAGCATATAAAGAATGTACAAATAGGGAACTCCTGATAATTGACACTGTGTGCAGTGGGCAGCAATGGTTGATACTTTGTTAACATATGAAACTACCCATCTCTCAAAGCATGAATGAATGAATTCAAATACAAGAAATAATAAATTGTGTTTATATTTTGTACTCAATGATAAGATGAAATTTGATGCAAATAGTAATGACAAAAAAGGATATTTTACAATTGTTCTTCACAAAATGCATTTGTAAGGTGTTGGTATATTTCTGTCTGCATAATGACAACCATAACACAATAATTCATGTAGGGCATAGATGATATTTATTAACAGAGAATAGCAAAATAAAATGGTACACAGTGAAAAGCAACTTTCAGAAATTTGCAATTTTTTCTCAGATTTTCCATTTGAAGAAAGAGCAATAGAGTAATAAACTTGTTTAGGAAGAAATTAGGGATACATTTTGCAAATATACACCTGATGCATAGGTAAAGCTATTTAGGTTATATGTCTGCCAAATTAGAAGCAAGGTACGGACAATAAAACTACAGGGATACTACATGTTTTTTCTTCCCTTGTTATGCCATTAAATAATTTGGTATACAATGTTACTTGGCCATAACTTCTCTCCAAATTTTGGTTACCGTCTGTATCACATGAATTGCTTGGTTTCCCTAACACATCTTCTTTGATTAATTTCAGCAATGGCTTCATTGTCATTGATGTATTTTCTCATAATTCTGCTGTTTCGATCATTGCTCACTGAAGGAAGGGTAAGTTTAAAATGAATAATCATCTAAACCTACTTATAAACTTGTCAAATTGCAATGTAACTGACAATAGTAAACTCAAAAGTGTCTTATATGTAACACTATTCTGAAGGAGTCCTGGGGCACTTAACAGGGCTATTAGTGATAAGAACATAAGTTTGTCCTCTCCAACTCAGGCAGATATTACAGGTACCAGTGACTTGTGGCCACTGGACTCTTGAAAATGGAAATGTACTACAAATATACTGTATGGATCAGAACTCCAATTAGATACTAAAGGGATTGAGGTTCATGTCAATTGCAAAGCATGGAAGGTTGAGTTCAGATATGAGGTATGTCTTCATTCAGCATGTTCTCAAAGTAAGATGTAAGACTGGAGAACAAAAATTCCAGTAGTGAAGCAAACACTTCATTTTAAATAAATCTAATTATCAGGACCAAAGCAAAAAAAATATATTTTAACATCTTATAGCATATAAAATATGCTTCAATCTCAAGAGATAAATAAACCCTAACTTCCTGCATAGCATGTAGATTGTTTTTAAAAATAGAATTGCTAATATGATATTCATTTAATATGAACTCTCTTACTATGGAATATTTTACATTTATTCTGAGTAATTTTTAAGAATCATCATAACAAGTGTTCTATTGGCAGTCATTAAAAATTGGAATATAGTATAAGAAGCAAAGAATTAGTATTACCATTTCTGCTAAGAAAATTCATTTTGATGGTTTTGAGGTTAACAGAATTGTGATGACAACATTAGCTTAGATAAAATACAATTACTATTACAGGTGACTAGCATTCAGTTTCTTTCTACATATACTTTGTAAATGTGTTCATTCTATTTGTTCAAGCACATTCTAACAGTTCCTGTTCTATGACATTTAAAATAGATAAGAAATATATAAATATATTAGACAATGACCATACCATATGGTGAGATATTTGAAGAGAAATCTATAAATTGTAAAAAATGTAGTAAAATGGCTATGTCAACCGGAAACATCAGAGAACATATACAATGACACCTGTATTTTACATCTGCTTATATATTCCTTTTAGAGGCCAACAAATTGTTGCAGAAGTTCAAGTTAGATCATTTTCTGACAATTTATAAGCATTGTTTTACCACTGAATGCAATCTAAATAAGCACATACATACAATATTATGTTTACATTTGAGCCCATGCTATTTTGTTTTCAGTCGCATATCAGTAAACAAAGTAAAAATAAGTCCCCTTACTACATCGATTTACTCTACTTCAATAAACTAAAATATTTTTTTCTGTTAATATCAAAAAGTTATATGTCAAGAAGCCCTGAAAAATTTGTTCCAAATGTGAAACAATCCTGTTATAATGCTGAGTATGGACCTGCTTTTAGTGTTTATCCTTTGAGTTAAACTCTGTCTGACTTTGGGTGACAGGAGTTTAGTGCATCCTGCCGGTGAAGCATTTATCTTGAGCTCATCTCCCCTTCTCATCCTATTTCATCCTGTATAAATGTAATTGGATAGGTTTTATGTTCCTTACTGTAAATGTTGCTATTAAAATGTATCTGTTCCTCAGGCACTGAAACGGACTCAGAGAGAACCCAATATATCTGCTGATTTCAAGGTTTACTTGAAAATAATTGTTTGCCAAATCATAATGGATAACATAGATATTATTCAGATATGACGTCGCTGCAACCAAGAAAAAGAATTGAACTCATGTATTGCCTTGAATAAAGTAGAAATGGATGGTTAATATAAGTAATGGAATTGATAAGCTACATTGTAATGACTCACTCAAGGGCCTAATATTAGGCACCAGTAATACAATTTTACTCTCTGACTAAAAAATTGTTTTGACAAATAATTGAATATAGTGAGGACTGATTATTTCATATAAGCTAGAAGCCTTCTAGTATCCTAAATACTATAATCCGTTATTATAGTCTCTCTGTCAAATCTGTATCCTAATTACTTAACCACAAAAACACAAGAATGGAGAATGTAAATGAGTTCAATGTATATTCAATAATATAAAAATATTAATCTCTCCACATAGAGGCAGAATAAAGAGTTCTGAACAAGCTATGAGTGTAGCAGAAAGCTAGGAATTGCCATCACTTCAAAATTAATAACATGACCTTTCTTTCCTGAAAACAGTGATGGTCAATCTTTCTAATACTATAACACTTTTTAAAATATCCTCGTGTTGTTTCTCATCTTATGTTCTTCAAGAAACAAAGTTTTTTCCACTGCTACTCTGTTACTGTAAACTTGTAATGTTATGAATTGCAACATACATATCTGATATTAATGATATGTGACATTGGACCCTTGTAAATTGAACATTTTACCCCTAACGGGTTTGGGACAAATAGGTTGAAGCTCTCTGTCTTAAATTCACAGGACATAACTGTGTGAAATCTCAGTAAAATCATCCTGGGTACCTCACTCTTCCTTACTGTAGTGTAATCAGAATGGAGTGAAATTGTATTCTAATTCAGACTATGAACCTTTATGAATCTATACCAGTAATTATCATGGCTGTTATTTTCTTCTTTTCTGTGATTATTTGATGATTTTGTATATGGATGTGTTAAATTTTGAATAAGTGACACTTCAGAGACTCCTAATTTCCTTCTACCACTCTTGAACAATATTTTTCTCAATAAAGACTATTCTGATTTCTTTTTTATTTGTGACAGGGTAGGTTTAACCAGGGCTACACATATAGTCATGTATATGACGTGATCCCTAGAACATGGAAATCACCAGTTACTATTCCATTGAAGACAATAAATAACCCCCACCACTACCAGTGACTACCTAAGAGCAACCTGGTACTTTGCAACCCTTTCCCATCTATGACTGAATATCGACAAGCCCAGTCTTGTGCAGTTCCTGTAAGGGCAAACATAGGTCGATTTTTCCATATCGAGAAAAGTATAAGTCAGAGATGAGTGTTCATATTTATTCAAGTCAATTGAGTTCTTGCAAATCATGAAAAATGGAATGGTAAAGTATTTGCTTTTAAAGGCAATGATTGTATTCCCTCCAGAAATTGTTCTGTATTATTTTAGCAATCATGAAACTTTTTCCATATGAAGGTAAGTATTGTGCTTACAAAATGTATTTTAAAATGTGTCGGAACTTTGATGAAAAATGCATTAAATCTTTATGTTGCTACTGGCAAGATTGCCATTTTTGCTATATTAATCCTACCTATTCATGAGCACAGGCGATCTATCCATCTTCTGATGTTTTCCTAATTTCTTTATATAGAGATTTGAAATTCCTGTCATAGAGGTCTTTCACTTGCTTGGATAGTCATACCAAGACTTATTTTTTTTAATTACATGTGGCTATTGTGAAGAGTATTGTCTCTAAACAATATCATCTGAAATTCTTTCTCAGCCATTTATAATTTGTATAATAAATGGTTACTAATTTTTTGAGTGAATTTTGAATCCAAACATGTGGTGTAGGTGTTTATCTGCTGTAGGAATTTTCTGACAGAAAATTTGTCATTATTTGTGTGTGCTATCCTATGACATTCCAATAGAGATATTATGACTTCCATAATAATTTGTTTCTACTTGCTCTCCTGTAGTTGTCTTATAGATAAAACTAGAGCTTCGGCTATTATATTAAAGAGATAGGGAGGGAGTGGATAGCATTGTCTTGTCCCTGATTTTAATGTAACTGCTTTAATTTTCTCACCAATTAATTTGATGTTACCTACTGGCTTCTTGTATATTGCCTTAATTATGTTTAGGAATGTGCCTTATATTCTTGATTTTTCTTGTATATAGGAAAATGATGGATTCTGTATATGAATTCCTTCTATTAGGTTGTTTATTTTTATTAAGGAATTGATTACATTAATATTTACAGATATTAATGAGCAATGAATGTTAATTCCTCTTATTTTTTTGTTGGTGCTGAAATTGTGTGTGTGTGTCTGTGTCTGTGTAGGTGTGTGTGTGTGTTTGTGTTTGTGTTTGTGTGTGCGTGCACACAGCAAGCAGGCACAGGTTTCTCTTGTATTTGTTTTAATGATTTGGAATCATTTATTTCTTTTGTTTACTTGAGTATGGTTAGCTTTACTGGTTTGGGATTTTATCTATAGTATGATCTGTGTGACTCAGTTAGTAGAATGATATTGTGTAAATTTGGTTTTGACATGGAATATCTTGGTTTCTCCATCTATGGTGAATGAAAATTTTGCTTGGTATTATAGTCTGTGATGAAATATGTGGTCTCTCAGTGTCTATAAGACATCTCTACAGGCCGTTCTAGCCTGTAGAGTCTCTTTTGAGAATTCAGGAGTAATACTGATAAGTTTTACTTCACATCTTACTTGTCCATTTTTGCTACCTTCAAAATTCTTTTCAGTTCATTTAGTGTATTGATTATTATATTCCAAGAGGATTCTCTTTTTGGATCCAATTGGTTTCATTAGTTGTAACCTTCTTTTCCTTTTATAGGCATCTCATTTTTTAGGTTATGGGAATTTTATCCTGTTATTTTGTTTATCATGGTTTCTGAGCCTTTGAGCTGGGAATCTTTCCTTCCTATTATTAATTCCTTAATATTACTAATTTCTATTATTCTCAGATTTGCTTACTTCATATTGTCTAAAATACTCTGGAGGTTTTGCCATGGAGTGGCTCTATTTTATGTTTTCATTGAACAATATATCAACTTGTTATATCCTATCATTTGAGTGAGGCTTTAATTTTATGTCTCTAAGTGTGTTTTTAAAAATACATAGTTTGAAACTTGCCTTTTGTTCTATATTTCCTGACACACAATTCTGTTGGCTTTCCTTGAGGAATATCAGAAAAATAATCTTAGCTCGATGTCTAGAATACGCCTGCAACAGTCCTAGAAGACAAAAAAATTCCAAACATAAAGAAAGATTTCTCTAAACGTGCAAAAGCTTACAAAACAATAAATTGAACCAAAGATAAAGAAAAGGAAAGTTCTTCCACTTAATAATATTAAAAAATTAAATGTACAGAACAAAGAAATAATATTAAAACCTATAAGGTAGAAAAGCAAAGTAACATATAAAAGCAGAATGAGTAATACTCTCAATCATCATAAATGTAGAAAAGAATATATTGCATGACTAAGAAAAAAATTAAGTAAGATTTATACACAACTCAGCCTTAGAGAAGATAAGAAGAATAAACATAATTCCAAACCAAGGAAGTAAAATATGCCCAAGAACACTCTGGAGATAAATAATATCACAACAACAACAACAAACAATAGAAGGTAAAAAATGGGTGTCCATGAGTATGCAACACACACACAAACACACACATACCACCACAATCCATATCTAAAAAGAAGCTACAATTGTTAGTCATTAATATCTCTCAACACCAATGGAATCAACTCAATATTAAAATGATACAGTCTAGAAGAATGGATTTGAAAACAGGACCCAAAATTCTATTGCATACAAAAAATACACTTCAGCAACAAAAATAGTTATTACTCAGAGTAAAGGGCTAGAAAAAGTTCTTTCAACAGCTGAAATCAATAAAATAGAAACAAAGAGAACAATACAACAACTAAATTAAACCAAAATCTGGTTCTTTCTGAAAATCAACAAATGGGGTAATCATTACTCAAACTAAGTAAAAAGCAAAGAGAGAATATCCAACTAAATAAATCAGAAATGAAAGCAAAATATAACAGACACTGAGGAAAACTAAAGCATCATTAAGTCTTACTTTAAAATCCTATACACCACAAAATTGCAAAATCTAAATGAAGTGAACAATTTTCTTGGTAAATACAGCTTGTTGACGCGAAATCAAGTTCAAGTAAAAAATCTAAATAGTCCTATAACACATAGTGATGATGAAGCAGTCATTAAAATTCTCTCAAGCCGAATCATCCTAGGAACAGATACTTTTAGTGCAGAATTCTACTGTACTATTAAAGAAGAGTTAATACCAATATTACACGAACTTTTCCACAAGATAGAAATAGAAGGAACACTGGCAAATTTATTTTATGAGGCTGTAGTCACCCTTGTACCTAAATCACATAGACTCAAAAAAGAAAGAATGTTAAGCAAATTTTCTTTACGTGTTTTGATGTAAGAATACACAATAAAATGGCTGCAAACCGAATCCAAGAAGCGATCAAAAGGATTACCCACTCTGCAAGTAGGCTTCATCTCAGAAATGTGGTTCAAAATATGAACATCAGTCAAAGTAATCCAACACATAAAAAAAATGAAAGAAAAAATGAAACAATCATCACATTTCAGGGTAAATGAACATTTGACAATATCCAACACCCTTTCATCACAAAAATCTTTGAAAGACCAGGGATATAAGGCATATTTCTAAATACAATAAAGGCAGTATCCAAAAAGATGATAGACAAAATTAAAAGGAGAGAAAATTAAAGCATTTCAACTAAAATCACTGACAATACAATATAATACTTGGAGTTTAAATAAGAACAATAAAACAACTAATTAGAATCAAAGGGCTACAAATTAGAAAGGAAGAATTCAAAGTATTGCTTTCAAGATGATACAGTTTTATACATAAGTGACACTTAAATTTTACCAGGGAAGTCTTCCAGCTAATGAACACCTTCAGCTATGTGGCTTGATACAAAATTAACTCCAAAAATAAATCAGTGACTCTCCTATAT